CAAGCTGATTGTTAGATTTGGGAATGCATGCGTGCTACCCCATTGGTTGTATTGCTCTCCAGTAATTTTCTCGGTATGTTGTAGAAAGACTCCTATATACTGGCGAGATCTCTGAGACAAATCTCTAAATGTAGTGGCATTGTCAGGGATAAACTCGCCCATTCTATCATTGACAGACACCTACAAGCATGTGAACGTTTAACCGCCAAAATACTCTCAGACACTCACCACCCATTACACAAAGAATTTTCAAAAGCTGTATCTACATCATCCACACGCTCCAGATTGAAACTTTTATTTGCACGTACCTGTGCTTATCGCAATTCTGTTCTGCCATATCTAGCACGTCTACTTATAGACAAGGACACAATTTCCACAGAATTGCGTAATTGCTTGCTTTATTGAGAAACACAATATCTACTGCTTTCATTTTGTTCACTATGTACGATTTTGTAAATTTGAATCCACAAATATGGTGTAATTGCTGAAAATACACCCATCCGGGTGCATAAAGCTACTACTAACTTGACTTGAATTTGATTATTATTTAGTACAATAAAAATTGCTTCATTCGAAACACTGAAGTTTGTGATTTAGGGTTAAATGATTACGAGCCGTGGCCAAATAAGTGTCGGGTTTGACTGTGGGTCCAGGCTAAGGTGGATGATAAAGAATTGCGGGTTAAAGCTTCATTGGAAAGTGCACCTTATGTTTTGATGAGGTGATATCTACTCCTAACCCGTTGTACTAGTTCGAAGTTTTACCAAGTGAAATTAAAGAATGGTAAAATAAATACTACTTCCAATAGCATAGAAATATTTATGATGGTATTAGTATCGTTAATTATCATTCGTACTGTGATACACCTCAAACTCACCCACTCCATATTACAAAGTCCGGTTGTTGCAAAATACAATCCAGATCAGTCGCATTCCCGATGGCTGTGGCGGCCACAAGTAGACTGCTATCTCGACGATAATTCCCCCAAACACCGAACAGATCATCAATATAATATGTGGAATCCAAGTGAATGTCTGTGAAATGCCAAAATGTACCTGCATGCGGGGAAAATGTAAAGGGAAACATACGCATTGTTTCGTGCTTAGAATTGGATAGGTCATGTGTTGGCAGGGTGGATATGTGAATTAAAAGCGATGGAAACGTTTGTGATAAACAACAAAGAGCACCCGACAGCTGAAACCCACGCCCAAGAACATCAAGAGCGTCTGGTGCCTATTAACAATCGAATGGGCCAATTCAAGCTTGATACTCTAAAATTGATCGAGCCATTCGCACAAGGCGATGACCGTCAACCTCGTAGCTTAGGGTAAGGGTTTGAAGTTCCAAATCGAAGGTTCGCGGTTCGGGTTCTGACAGGGACAAACAAAGTACGCAATGCTGACGAGTCCCAAATAGGACGAAACAGTGCTCTTTGTTGGTTATCTAAAACACTTCCATCGAATTTAATGCACACAAACAGTGGGGAATTAACGAACTCCCAAAGAGTGAAACCTACATCCAACATCATCAGCAATGCCTGGTGCTTGTAAAAAACAAAAGAATGGACTAATCCAAACATTCACCATCTAAACGAATTTGTAAAAATTGAGGTCACATGGACCAAATGGAGTCTGTGTTCTGCTGCCGACTGATTCAGGGACCCACGACACCGTCTGTTCTAACTTTGTAGACCCCAACTCAGTGTCAGGTGTGTCGATCCAGTGTGAATCGGACATCTGTGTGGCAGCTAGTTGCTAATACATCGTCGATCTGTCGGTCTGTCTACTAATGCCCGAATTGAAATCAGTTTGTTGATTCCAGAAACTCGGGCATGGTGCGTTCATCCGGAGCTAATCCGTCTATTGATGATATGAAGCGGCTATTGTCTACTCAGTCAAATACACCACGTCGAAATCGAGAACGAACAGACCAGTTCGAATTGAAATTGTTTTGACAGACTGATCGTTTTTCAAGACTATGTGAATTTGTTGTTCGATTAGACTGACAAATTCGCAAAACATAAGTACTACCGACTGTGAGTCTGAATATGAATTAGGCAACCATTTATTGAATACAGTCAATCTCACGCTATGTCGCACGCATCGGGAATTCGAAAAAGAGGGTAAATTCCATGAACTGCGACATAGCGTATTAGTCAGTAGTTAACGCTTTTGAGTAGCATGAAAAATCGGTTGAGAGTTATGTGAAAAAATAAACCGAATCGATGAAAATTACGGTAATCCCGTTGCTTGTTACCAATGTTTATAATTATGTACGGTTTATTTATAACGGAATTTAGATATACCATCCTGTGTATCATTTATGGATGAAAGAAATGTAAATCTTTGATGATGTCCTCAGAATAATATGAATACTTTGCATCCGATATTTAACCCTTTTTCAGTTTCAAGTGGATAGTTGTCCCGAAACTACCTACCTTTCTTCATGGGAACTTTTTCTAACAATTACCACATATTAATTCCAGATATTCCTCAATTCCGTTGCAATGTTAGGCTAAATACAGAAATCAGCATATGGCGTGCACCATAATATGCAACTGTTTTAGCTATAATAATCACATCAGTGTAGACCCATTCAAGGAAAACAAAAGTGAACCAGATCGAATACAGTCTCATTCGAAATCGAATTCGAAAGAAATCCCATCATTTACAGTGAGTAAAATATGTTTTACGGGGCATACTCAGAACATGGACTTATTTCCCATATTGAAACTGATTGTTCAATCCATTTAGGTGTTAGTGAAAAATGTGTACTATTAGCGTCTGTATGTAGATATCTATTCGTTCGTTCGCTTTGGTTGTTACCAGTGTTTTTTCAAACCGATTAAAGCAGTCAATTTCCAGCTGTGTCCCTCCCATCTCGGGAATTCGGACAAGTGGGTAAATTTTAGAAACTGCGATATAGCACGTTGGTGAGTAGTAAATGCTAATAAGTAGTATGAAAAATCGGCTGCGAGTTTAGTGACAAAATAAACCAGGTCGTTGAAAAGTACGTCAATTCCGATGCTTGTTCCAAATTTTGATAATTATTTACACTATTCTGTTAACGGAATTTAAATATGCCATCCTGCGTATCCTTTATGCATTGAAGAAATTCAAATGTTTTTCTGATGTCGTCAGCTTAATATTAAACTATTGCATTCGGCACTCAGTCCTCGAACAGTTTCAAGTATCTGGTTATCTCGATACTAACCAGCTTTCTTCATGAAAAGTTTTCTAATCAAAGTACCCCATATTATTGCCAGATATTCTCTCATTCCTTTTCAAGATTAGGCTAAGCATAGAATTGACAAAAAAGGCGTCCACCACAATAGAAAACCTTTCAAGCTATAATATTGATTGATTTGAGCTGACTATCGTTCGGACTTCACCTTCACGCATAATCCTCAGATCATCGATTCAACCATACACTTGGAAGCACTAGACTCGAGTTTCACTCTTATTAGAGCTCATTAGTAGTGCCGATCCCCCAACCCGTTCGGGATTTGGAACTCCGGACCCATCACATGGAAGGCGTGTGTGTTACGGCAGCTATAATAACCACATTATTAATCCATTCGATGAGAACAGGCATAGACCTTGTCGAACTCAGCGAGAACACGGGACAAAAGATCACATCTGGAGGAAACCACATCATCTAAAATAAGAGAAACATCTGTCACGGGATAAAATCGGTTCGCTGACTTCTTTCTCATATTCCAAACTGAGTGTTTGCTAATTTTCTGGTGAAAATGTGCACCATTGGCGTCTGTAGACATGTATTTGTTCGTTCGCTTTTGTTCTTGCCAGTGTTCAACCCGATCGATACATCCGTTATAGCCGTTGTTGGTAAGCATAAGTGATGAATTAAGTTCAACACATGATGTCATAACGTGATTCAAAATAAGAAGTGTATCGTTCAACCAGTCGGGGACGTGGGTAACGAAACTGACCGTTGGTCAATGACAAGTCTGAGTTCATCGGCGCTCAGGGAAGAACAAGGACAATTTATCGCTCACTCATTGACATATATGTATAGGCCTCATTTTATCCAAAATATTTGACCACCAATTCTTTTTGTGTAAATTGTGGTGCAAACGTTTCAGAGAACCGAGTTCAAGAAAATTCTGCATTCGGCTGTATCGCTGTGTGTGCGTTTGTGTAGCAACAGTTTGAAACAACTTTATGTGACTTCTTAAAATTCTTACTTTGCTTCACTGATCCATTCCGCTTGCTTACAGAGAGACTTCACTAACTATAGTAAAGATCAACTATTCAATATCGTACACCTAAATAATTTCCAAAACCCAACATAAAACGAGCAATTGCGAACCGCTTATTGCACTCGTAACGTAAAAGACGTACAAAATCTGGCTGTATATTTTTAAAACGACACAATTGCTACTGACGAGTAGTAATAAGCTGCGATCCACTTTTACTTTTATGAGACGATCCCAGGGTAAAGAATGCGACACCCCTTCTCAGCCGATGTATGTTGTAAACATACCAGGCTTCACTACAACCCATAATTCTAATTCCTTTCTGTTAGCATCGTGCACGACGGCGGAGTCTTCAAATTTCAGCCGTGCTACATTTTTGTGCTCCAGTGAACAATTTATCAACTTTTACGTCACACATCGGAATCAAGTTTTTTTCATCGCTTCCATGATTACGTACGCCCCGGAATCTTTAAAGAATTTGCAACAATATGTGTTATCGCGCAAAAGTGGCATTCTCTATCAGTTCAGTCGTCAAGTTAAAAATAGATACAAAAGATGCAGACCGTCTGGTTCAGGTTTCCTCAGGAAATACAGAACAGGCTGGCAAGTGACTTTACGTAAGACAAAACCTCAGAAAATATTTATCCTTGCGATTTGCTCATCAAGCGTACGATCACTATTGGGAACAGTAAGCGGCCTCATGAGACTGATAAAAACGAAAAAATAGCATGCATTGAGGATAGTTATGCTGCAAGAAACGTGGTTGCATCCTGACATCAATGACTCTATGGTTCGGCTGAATTTATTTGATATGCATCGGTTGGATAGAAACTGTTTACTATGTGATCGAAGGGGTGGTCTAAGAACCTACACCAATTGTCTTCTTGTAAGTCTACAACGATTATCTTCAATTATAACGTAGGATATATCTCATGTCTTTCTGTTGAATGTAAACCCCGTTTCCTTAGTAAATATCGTTCCGTTGTGAAATCAAACAATTATATAGCACCTTCCAGTACAACTTCTGATGTACAGACGTTTGCTGATGTATTTATAACCGAACTTTCTAATTACACGTAAAACTCTTTTTATTATTAGTGACGATTTCAACCATGCAGATATTCATTCCTTGACATGTCTCTCTCTTCACAATCTTGTAAA